TGGCCCAGTTGCGAAGCCCTATCCCTTTGCCACTCGCGTTCCGCACGCGCATTTTGGAGGCCTTGGCCGGCTCTCCGCCCAATGCAAAGAGCTGGGCCCCATTTGCCTGGGGAGGAGAGATGAGGCCTGGGCGAGAAGGTGAGAAATGGCGAGGCGGCGTGTGCCAGGGTGGGCGATGACTTCGGGACGCACAGAAGGAGCGCCCAGGGAGGGGAGGCGTTCCAGTCCCCTAGGACCGGCCTCCAGGATGAGGCCGAGCCGGGCCGCGCGCCCGGCAGCCCCTGGTCCCCGCGGGCCAGCTAGCTAGGCCGTGAGGCCGCGCTAGAGGAGCCTGGGAGCGAGGTCCTTCCGCCCGGGGGAGCAAGATCGTCACCCATTCAGAACAGAGCAAGATCTGGGCGGGAAAACAAAAGTCACAAAGAAATTTGTTTGCCATCATGCAAAATGGCGGCATTTAAACATCTTTCTGGTGCTGGTGGACCTGGCCAGAGAGCCCAAGGCTGCCCTGGGCCAGCGCGGTCTCCAGAGCTCGGTGGCCGGGGGCAAGTGAGGGGGAAGGAGACCCTGAAGCCCCCTAAGCCTCCCGGCCAGCCCTTTGCCCACAACCCTGCAGTGGCTAGGCCGAGCCCAGCCTTCCCTCCCAGCCCGCCAGGCCCGAAGCTTGCGCCAGCAGCCCCCGGCCACTGACCCCTGTTTACAAACACAGCCCGGGGGCGGGGTGGGGCCGGCCGGAGCGCTGGCTGGCGGGGCGGGGGCAGGCCGCGCGCAGCGGAGGACGCCACCAGCAGAGAGGAGCGAGGAGTTGGTGCGAGAGAGCCGGCCCGGCAGCTGGAAAGGACTGAACGCCTTGTTTTTGAAACTGTCAATTCCCTCAACGCCTATTGTGAGGGTTTCATGCAAAACATCTCAGGCCTTTTAAAGTAGGAGCTTGTGAGGCCGCCACAGTTTGAAAAGGAGCGAGAGAGAAGCGGGGGCCTAGGGCATCGGCAAAGAATGATAGCTGGGCCCCCTCCCTTTTTTTTTTTTTTTTTTTTTTAAAGCAAAAGAGGGCCTGCCAAACAGGTAAAATGCAGCCCTCCCCCACCTTCTAGATCTGCCCTATCCCCACCTCCCAGGCTGGTTTGCGAAATGCCCTTTGCCCTAGGGAGCAAACCAAAACCAAGTCTAGCATTAAAAATAGTTCTTCCTTCTAGGGAAGGGGAAAATCCTGGGGATGAGTAGGGTGACCGGATAGACTCTCCAAGGTGGATGCCCTGTTCCTCTTTGCCAATTTCCTGAGGTTAGTTGATGGGGAGCGCCCCCCCCCCAGTTGGCTCTGTGAACTCTTTTTACATCCCTTTCTGCAGGAAGTTATTTTCAAGGTGAAGCAAAACCCACCACATTTTCTTTCTTTTGGAGATGCTAATGCTTTATTTAAAAAAAAAATTTTTTTTTTTACCATGAAGGATTTTGTTTTTGTTTTGTTTGAAAGAAAGAATGCTTTTGAGGAATTAGTTTCTACATCTCTTCCTGCCTGCAAACAAGCTATCATTTTCCTATCAGCAGAAACTCCCAGTTCTTGTTGATTAGAACTTTGAGGAATTTCTAGTCCATTGAAAGTCACCCAGACACGCATAAGATAAAAATCCACACACAAGCCCATCTAGTTTCTGTTATTGCTGTTTAGTGGTGGCTCCTTGTTGTTGATTTTCAAATAAACAACCATTATTGAGATTACTTCACTGCAATCAAGTAAGCCAGTAGAAAAGCACTCACTTTCAAAAGTAAATAGTTGAGGAAGAGGAAGCTGCATTCTCTACAAAGGCTGATAACCTAACTGGAAGACAGAGTACACACATCTCTTAAAAAAGATATTAAATCTCCATTTGACTGTCTTATCAGGAAATAACTTTTCTAGGGAGACCAAAAATAAGTTTGTTTTCCCAAAAAGTTAGAGAAAGAGGCTCTTCCTGTATTTCTCATGTCTGTGAATGTTGAGCTTTAAATACAGCAATCAGTGACCCTGAAACCATATAGTGCCTTAAAAAAAAATTTCTATTCCCTGAAAACATTTAAAAGTAAAAATGCAATCTATCAATGGAGGTAACTTGTTTTTCTCTCAATAAGGCTTAATTTTTTGAACACATGGGACATTTATAGCAGCTTTAAGAATGTAGATATTGTCACTAATCATAAAACAACTAAAGTAAAATAAGCTGTACTAAGAATAATTCCCACAGAATGGGAAATTCCCAGCAGAATGGGAAAACCACTAAGGGGATACCAGAAATTGAACGAATACCTTGTATTAGCAAATTACTGCACACTATTTGGTACACTTTCCTGACAGAAGCCCCAACTCAGGTTTTGCTGTGGTTGGCTGGCTTGTAGAGTACTGTGGGGTGAAATTTGTGTTGACTATTTAATTTCTTTCCTTTTGATAGTATCACTCTGGAATGCCTCAGCGTCCATGCTGCTCATTCTCCAGCTCCTATAAACTGAAACTATTGATTCTCTGAGGGCTGGAGACCAAGTGTCAAAGCTGGAGGCCATTATTTTATGTCAGAAATTCCATAGGGTATATTTGTTTAAAATTGTGCTTATTCCATCTTACTGTCCTCCCACACCCAGGATCTGTAGACTCCAAATGTATTCTCAATTATATTTTAAGAACAATGAATTCATAGCCAACGAGAAAAGTACTAGTCTAAATGTAGTAGTCACCATACTTTGAACTTTCTTAACTTAGCAGTAATTAGAGAGTAGAAATTACAGACTTCCAGTGTGCATGTCACACTTTATACAGACTGATTTTTCAAGACAACTTACTGTACCTAAATTCTGTATTGTCTTCCAGAGAGGAAAGAACTCAGATTATGAAGCCAATTGTTCAGCTTTCTGGGTCTTTAACTGTAACATGGACTGGTCTTTGGAACTACATACAAAAAGGAATTCAAGGTTAATAACCCCCCCCCAAATTTTTGCTCTGACCATATCTACCATTCCAATAAAAAAGGATCCAGTGAACCTACATCTGGCAACATTCAAGAAGGAAAGGGAGGCAGTTCAAAGCATCTGTTTACTCCATCCAAATGTATTTGGATGCAGGTATTTTCCTTCTCTGTCCTTTATAATAAAAGGAAAACCATACAGCATATTCAGCAATTAGGGGCTGAGACCATCCAGATCTATCTGTAACATTTATAGACAAAAGGAAAATCTCAAAGGACTAGGAATTAAATAGTTTTTAAAAAAGACTAAGTTTCCATGAGAAATAGTGACTTAAATTCACACAGTAAACATTCCATTGGTGTTTTGCCTTGTGATTTATGATCTGTAGATGCAACTTCTTAGATTTAAGATAGCAAGGACCCTCTGAGATACATAATTTGTCAGACTAAAGAAGGTGGACCAAAATTTAATTAGATTCAATGTCCATTAAAATAATTGATCTCTGCTTCATTTTCTTAAATCTGAAACTTTTTGCACTTGATTTGTACTAAGTTTGTAAAGTTTTGTTGTTATTTAGGAAGAAATCCACCAGTGCTTTATACAGAACCTGACTGGCCTGATCACACAGTATTACAACAGAACACTACACCCAATAAATGCAGTTCTTTCAAGCAAAAACATTACAAGTGAAAATGTCAACAAAACCATTCAATCCTGTTAACCATTCTTCAATCTGGAATAAGTAGAAATGTATGGAACCAGGAATTTTAAACAGTGTTTTTAATTGAAAATAAAGCTAAAGCATGCTTTTCAACAGTGCAAATTTCCATAATTTTGATTTACTGCTTCCATCATCACAACACAGTACATCAGCATGGCCCTTAACAAGGGCTAGACCCTAGCATTTGCATGTTGAACTACTTTGATTTTAAGTGCAAATATAGATAGTCACCTCTGATTGTCACTTGCAGTAGAAACTCTCCTGCTCTACACACAGGATGGTCTGAAAACAGAAGTTTAGAGAGATGCAGAAAAAAGTATAAGGTAATAAAATCTCCAAGTGCCTGAGTTCTGGTACCAAAAAGCCCTGAAATAACAGTTATTTTTCATCAGGGGCATTACAAATCTGACCCCTCATTTTCTTTTTCTTGGTTGTATTTACTGCTTTGTCACTATGAAGAGTTAGACCATAAAATATCCTGCTATCAAGAGAAATATTTTAATTGTTTTGTGAGTTTGAAGAGTCATGTTCAGACCACAAAGTAAGCAGGACAATAATAAGAGTCACCTTATTTAAAACCTTTGGGTGAGAACACAGGAAGGGACTTTTCCAATTGCAAGGAGTGGCTTTACAAGTAAAATCACACCCTTTACAAAAAAAAAAAAAAATACAATCCCATATTTATATTACTCAGTATATATGAGGCAGCTTTTACCAGCATTCAATCAGGACTCACACCCCAATCTTTCCACTCAAAAAATAAAAATAAAAAAAGTTAAGTGCAACTACTCTTGGAGGAAATGAGGGGAGTCAAAAGAAAAAGATACCCCACAAACAAGAGCTCCAGAAAATACCATTTTGGGCTCACAGAAACTTCTTGCTACCTCATTGTGTAACTATGTAACCTAACAAACTTTCACTGAATTAACAGTTACACTTTCAGGTCTGAAATCTAGTGCATAAACTTAATGGCTCATTGTAATATTTATTATTCAACCTTTTGACATTTATTTGTAGCAGTTGAATTGAGGTACCGGGTGCATTATTAGCATTGAAACAGTAAAGTGTTCCAGCTCTACCGTAATAACTGAGTTTTACTTGAGTCTTTAGCCTGAAGTAGTCTGTGGAATGTAAACCAACCCTTCTCCCACCCCGCCCCCACCCTACTCCAAAAAAAAAAAAAAACCCGCAATGAAAAAAAAAAGTAATCCGATTTCTGTCTTCAAAATGCGATAAACCAGGACTCCAAAGGGGGTGTAACACATTAATGGACTTGTACAAACCATCCTGTGCAGTTTACAACAAAAGGAAGGTAATATGGTTCAAGAAAATATCTTCCAAAACATTTTTATGAATTAAATTTCCTGAATTTGTGACTAGGTGGAAGAGGTATTGCAGAACCGCCCAGCTGCCATTTCCATATAGGATGGGCCTTGTGAGGAGGTTGAAAATCCTTAGTGGTGTTTAAGGAATACGCTGGCCACAAATCCCCATCTTTCCCAATAATGAGTGATGGTGGACAAGGAAAATTTGCCATGAAATTAAATGGCCTTTTCACTGCTGATGCTACATTGCTGGCTACCTTTTTGCGTCTGTTTATAACTGTAAAATCATCCAGTGTTCCTTCATGGGTCTCAGTTTTACCTGTAGGACGAGGGCTTCTAGCTGATTTCAAATTTGGTTTGACTGGAGGTGTCTGAAGGACAGGTCGTTTTCCCAGTACTAGTGTCCGATAATTTTTTCTCACCCTGGCGCCAAATTTATATTCCCCATCCTCAGGTTTTGGAGAACCTAAAGTGCATGAAAGGCCCTGACTCTGAGCCAGTGGATTTAAGGAAGGAGTTTCTTTTTCAGGGCATGCAAAACCTTCCCTGGCTGTGGTTAACAAGGCGTCCTCCTCTTTACTTTCAGTCACACTGTAAAACTCACCCTTTGTATCATTGCACTCGCACTTTAGCTTATTTGTAATAAGGTCAGGTTCATATTCTTCATTAGCACTACTGTCTTCTACTTTGATTTTAATATTGTGCAGGAATGACAATGTCTTGTCGCCTGGGTCAGTGTAGGGATTCTCGGCTTTAGTTGCTGGTGCTGCTGCATCCACTTCAGGATCAGTTTGCAAAGAGGGCAAATCCGTAGCAAATTCAGGACAATGAAGGATTTTGGAATCATTTTCTGAATTTGCTGCAGCTCCTGAAGAATCATTATTTAAGAACCTAGCAGCTATTGTGTTGTTATCTGCACAGTGTGTAGTAGGAGTTGCTTGTAGGCATTTCCTAGCATCTCGGAGTATTCTTTGTTGTGGAAATGCATTGTTTGTCTTTGGGCTAGGTGAAGAGGCCCCCTCTGCCAGGCAGTTAATTGTCAGGTCAGTTCTCTTTACAGTACTGGAAATTTCAGAGTGTGGGAATGTAATCTCCGATACCCTATCGTTCCTTATCTCTGTGAAACAACTCCCCAGGCTGGCCGGGCAGTACACCGGAGACGCTTTGGGGGCCCAGCTCTGCAGATTCCACTCCTCCGGCGACTCCGCTTTGACACTGTTCTTGAGGTCGGGAAGTCTGCCGGCATCCTCGAAAGCAGCGGGTTTGGTTGCAGCGGCGGCGGAGGCCAGATGGTACAAGAAGTTGGCCTGCGCCTGCACGTTGGGAGGTTTGCAGAAGCTGGTGCGCCTGAAACGGATGCTCTGCACTGACACTTGGCTGGAGCCGGAGCTGGAGTCCGACTCCGTGGACGAGTCCTCCTCCTCCGAGCTGACTTCACTGGAATCCGAGGCCCCGCTGCCCCCCTCCTCCTCTTCCTCCTCCTCTTCCTCCTCCTCCTCCTCTCCCTCCTCCTCCTCTTCCTCCGAGGACACAGAGTTGCTGGAGCTGGACAAACTGGAGCCAAAATCCGAGTCGTTGGCGGCATGGTCCGAGTAGGAGCTGGACTCGGAGTCGCTGCTACAGCTCTCGGGAAAGCTGCCCAGATGGGGCTGCGGTCGGTGGTGGTGAGGGGGGTGGTGACTCGGCGGCGGCTGCTGGG